AACATCTTCCATTTTTTCCGATCTCTTCACAATGCTTTTACACGTTAAAATTCCGTTTCTTGCCGCGATGCATAAAAGTGAATAAACGCCAGAGTGACAGGTGTTCGTTAAAAGGGCGAACTTTGAAAGAACACCTACAGTCTAAAAGGCGATCTTATGCTCTGTCCCTTTGGATTTTACACATACTTGGAAGTATGTGGGATTTTACTACACTAACACCATCTATTTGAGATTTTGTTAAGATTTACCCTGAAAGGTAAATTTTGATTTTTTTATTACCTATAATTAAAAATTTAAACACAATTTTTTTTAATTGTTTTCTGTGTCTGTATTTGTAAACCGTTTTCCTTTTATTTTAATTATAAAAAGCGTTTTATTTACCTAATTCTCAAATATACTTCAAAAAATTAATAGATTTTAATGTAAACGAGAAAAAGCTTTAAAACATTTATTTGTAGTAATATTGTTTCAAATATAATTATAATATTTCTAAACACTGGATTTTTCCAATTATTTACCAATATCATGGCATTGTTTAATTTGCCAAATAAACATCAAAAATTTGTCATCGTTTTTCAATGCCCAGACATTCCCAAAATTAAACCAAACTTAATCCAAACTGCTTTTGCATATTATTGGGCACAATTTGAATTTATTGTTGGCCATCGCGATTGCACAAATATATTGTACACTTATTGATAAAACTTTTCCAAAGATGAAAGAGCAATTATTGGCCAAGTTTTAACCTGATATGGTTCTATGGGCTGTGGTGAATTTTGTTTTCAAAAACATTAAAAAAAAATTACTCAACTTGCGTTTTTGGTTGGTAGACTCGTACACTTGTATCCGGCGAAAATTTATGATCATTGTCTGTCATCATAGACTAGTAGTGAAAAACATCTGCCATACGTTTCCATTTGCGGCCAACTAATGGATATTTGTCTCGTGACACGTGTTGGTGCGTGTAGGCAAGTCAAAAAAATGACGAGTTACGGCTCCAAGCTCCGCGAAAATAAAAAAACGACCGAAAAAACGCAGATTTATCGTAATTGAAGTCAACAACACCTAGTCGGGGCGAATCAAGTGTCTACGCTGAAAGTGCATATAACTTCTTTTTTGGTGTAAAAAATGCATGTAATTGTTGATGAATAGGTCTGCGTATTTTTTTATTTACTTTTAAGAAATGCCTCTTGAAAATTCCGTTTAAATTTTGAGTGAAATTTATTTGGCATAAAAAATAAATAAAACAAAGTTGAGTATGTGAATTAAGGGTCGCGGGTGAATAACAAACAAACAAGGCTTCCACAGGCGAAAGCTACATCGTCTAAAGTATACCTAATGAATATAGTTTAAATCCCTGTCTGTTTTCTCCCCCGAAAAAGTTATATAAAGTATGTGACTAGCAGCTAAGTCCTTTTCCTAACAATACGAAGAAGGATCAAAAGTTCCAGTCATTTTCGTTTATACCAATCCACTTTGCCCAAGTGTCGTCAACAACATAACCACTCAAACCAATACCTCACTTTTTACTTATTATTTACTCCTATAATAATAAAAAGAGCAAAAAACACTGTAACTTTACTAATACTAAGGGCCGTATGCAGAAACGTTGATTTATTTATGTATATCCACTGATTTAAGTTTGAACCAATTTGGCAACATAGCAAATTTTAAATGACAGTAAAGATTTGTAGCTTATCTTACATATACTTTAATATTTGTTTATTACATTATAAGAGTGTTACATTTTTAAAATGTATTATTAAATAAGCACAAAAATACATGTACCTATAACTCAATAAACCTTATTATTGACAAAAAAACTTGGTTTGAAGAGGATTTCGGCAATATAAAACATACACAATTGGGTTATGTTCGCAGTTTGCAATGTGAAAATTACGGCTTAAAGCCTCTGAAAAGAACAAAGAAATTTTGTTGAAGTTGGTATTCAAGTGTTTGTTCTTGTAAAACATTAATTAATTATATTAATACTAGACCTGTTTCTAAAAGGCAATGTTCTTTTACCTATTCTTTTACTTTTACATCGAGAGGGAAAAAAGACATTTAAAATTTGTGACAAGAATATAAAAAAATTAAGAAACAAACTGTAGAGGATTACATATGTTAGTTAATGATTGATATAAAATTGATATAAATTATGGTTTCAGATTAAACTTTATTAATCAAAAAATCAAAAGGAAGGAGCTATACTCAAAATTGCATGCAGAAAAATTGTGCTAGAAAATGAGTGTGAGGTGGAGTCTCGAAACTTTTTGTAGCATGCATATAGTTTACCCTTGACTGCCCCCTGAACAAAATCCTGGCTAAATGGTTAAATTAAATGAAAAATTCGGCATGCCTTATACACTTTTTTTTTTAATAATTTATATTGAAAAATATAGGTACACAAATTTTAAAACTGTTACTTTTATAAAGCAAATTTTAAAATTTAATTGTTGCAGTTCTAGTTCTAAATCTTTTTACCCTGTGTATTTTATTTAAAAATAAAAATATTGTTTCAGAGCCTATTTTTAATTATTTGTAAAATAAATATTACAAATAATAAAAACAATTTGAACCTAAAATATAAAAACATAGTTTCATACACTGCCTGTTTTTCCTTTCAAGCAAAAACATTTGCTTTTACTTACAGGATATATTTTTTCGTTTCCTATAAAATGACTTTTAGACTTGTATTATTGGCAAAAACTGTTAATAATATAATAATATGTATATTCAATTTGAAATACCCATGTTGCATTTTTGTCCCTCCATTTCATTTTCTTCTATGTTTACTGGTCTATTTCTGGGCCCAAAAATAATTGGAGTATAAATTTCGTCTCAGAAAAAAAAGTCCCCTCTACCTTGTTGAGCCCTTTACACAAAACCTACTGTTTCTATTTCCAAGATTAAGCACATATTTTAAAAATTTTTACAGAAAATAAGTTGAACATGGTCTAAAACTTAAAATTCTTCAAAAGTTTAAAAAAAATAAGACAAATATTTTTTAAACACAATTTTGGTTTTATTTTGTAATCTTTATTATTTACCTATTAAATAATATATTTTTTTAATTATCTATAATATAATATCTAAAATTATATTAAAAAGTAAACATTTATGTTTTTTAATTTAAAAAAATAAATCAATAAATATTTTCACCCAAGTTCAATGTCAGGGGTAATTGTTTTACAATGAAACTAAAGAAAGTTATAAATCAATTGATTTCAAGTATTCCGCTTTTCAATCAGACAAAAAACATCAAAGATATTTGATATAATTAACATGCTAATAATTTTATCTTTAAAAAATGTTATTTTTTAAATGTATCTTTGTTATAGTTATGTTTACCTTCTGAATTTATTTTTTCATATATTTTACAAACAAACATACTTGCTGTCTAATTTTATTCATATTTTAAATCAGTCGTTAACGACTGATATAAATTAGGTATATCAACCGATTTACAATTTAGATGATTTTATTGGCCAAAAAACAAATCTAGTAAACCATGACTTATATTAGCGAAATTATTTTCTAAGCAAATGTCACGAATGTCAAATAAATCTTGATGAAATTTTAATTGTTTTATATCCAATTTAAAATGTCAATATATAGAAATCGACTTTTTTATGGAAAATATAAATGTTGAAAGATTTACCCAATTTATTTTATAAAACAACAGTTTTTAAAGAAAAATAGTGCGTTGCCATGTCGTGCAAAAACCTATATCCAGAGACAAGGGTCTGCCTTTATCCACTGATAATATCAGTCTGATATGCTAAATCATTTGATATAAATAAATCAACGTTTCTGCATACTAAGAGATGAAGGCAACCAGACTACACATATTATATAGAAAAACGAACTAACGTGATTTTTTGCATAACTTAACCATGATTACATATAATATGTACTTAATCATGGTTAAGTTATGCAAAAAATCACGTTAGTTCGTTTTTCTGTTGCTGTGTAAAAGAAGAAAAAAAAACGAAAACACTCGAAATAAAACTTATAATGCGTTCTGTCAAAAAGCGCAAAACAACTGATAAATCATCACATCGGGAAAATTACCCCCAAAGATTTATTGTTTGGTTTTGTATGCAAAAACGATGTGGCACGTTCGAAACGTTTGAAATCCCATTTTTGTAGGGCGTGAAAAACTACCATTCATCTTGAAAATGCTGTTTTTCTCAGTTTCCGGATTAAATTCTCATCTTATTCGGGTATGGTGGAGGAAAAAACAAAAGCAACGGGCGTTGGCGACGCCGTATTGTCGTTTATTTAAGGAAATATGACTTTTTTTTATTATTACAATATGCAGTTTTAGTCTTTTGCTAAACATAAAAAAAGTCTCTGTCTGCGAGGACGTTGAAAGGCGCTCTGCGAGACTTTTGTTTGTCTATGATTTTAATAAAAGTGTATAAAGAGGATGTTATGAGATTCATGTAGCTTTGAAAGATATTTGATTAACCGTTTTTTGTAAAACTGCATAAAAATATTACAATAATTCATAAAAGTCTTATTAGTTAAATATGTTGGTACCTCCCAAAACAAAGTCTCCTCTAACACGTTTCTCTGAGGTGTTGTTAAAAAAAAACATAAATCTTTCCCAGCGCTTATGAGTTAAGTTTAACCCCTATTAAAGTCAAACCCCTTTCACTTCGAAATTTTATTAAAACTTACACCTACAAGACATCGCGTTAACCACCTAAAAATTAATTTACAAGAGGAATAAATTAATTTTACGACTCCCTCGGGACACAATTAACATATTTTTGTATAAACAATGCAAAATGTTCGTAAATAATAACTAATCAAGTGGTCTTGGTTTTAATAATAGTATCGCCATCTATCCATTTTAAACGTGGACAAATCAAATGATTTCTGCTTTAAACCACCCAGCAACACTAAACTCCATCTACTGGCAGGTAGTAAAAGCTTTACCGCCAATTGTCAAACTGGTGACGCAAAGTTTTCGATACCAACTGAGCGGCTAGAAAACGGCGGACCGCTCAGTCGAGTTCCGATAAGTGATCTGGAGTGTTGTTGAAACGATCTAAGTGCCTTTTTGTACGAAATCCGGTGAACATGTCCGAGGAAATGAACGAAAACGGCGTGCAGGAAAACGGGGACGTTCCAGAGATCGAACTGATAATCAGGGTGAGTGTCCGCGGAGAATGTCGCTTTTTTCGCCTATTTTCCGTTCAAAAACGGGTGTGACAGTCGGCGAGGCGAATTAAATGCCGCGACTTGAAAGTGCACATCTTAGAACTCAAATTATTAAACTTTTCTCTTAAGGTTCGCATTTAAAAGTCCCAGGTAGTTTTACGATGACCTTGGGATTTACGTAAAGGATGCAATTATAAGGTTCTATTTTTAAAACTTACCGAAATCTATGCAGTTTTTGGTAAACAAACGTCCAAATTCGACTAGATTACCGTATTTGGAACACCTGTTGCATCCTTTTGTTTATAAAACCAATTTGACAGCTCAAATGTCAAAATACAAGGAGTACCTACTTGATGTTTTTGAGTATTTTCGGTTTTTAAATATACCGGGGGAAAAAATCTTCGTCACTTCGTTTACTTTTAAATTATTATTTATACAATTTTAGGACATCAATTTATCCACATTAGCCAACATACCTAATAACAATCTTATTATTCCAATGAGTAGGTACCTAGTGTGTGTTAAAACTAATTATTTATATTTTTATTTGTTTATGTATGAATGTAGAAAGTATTTATGGATATCTCACAGTTTTTTAATATTTAATCATGAGCTAGTGCTGATAAATAATTGCATCTAAAACAACAAATATTTGATTTCTTTGTCAAGTCTAATTTTTACGTTCGATGCTTATTCACACCTACCTAAATATAATTTTGAAGGTGTTATCTGTGTACCTAAATACTTTCCTGAAACACCCAATTTTACAACAGATAACAATGACGAACTGTTTAAAAATGTCGAGACTAATTATTACAATTTTCAATCTCTTGTAGTTTTTGTCGACGTTGAAAATTAACCGTAACGTAACCTTTTTCATGATTCATCGCTGTTGTTGGTAAAACGGCTTATTTTAGTAATGAAGAAAAAATGAAAGTTATTATACTTTAGATCGGTTATCGGTAAAGCTAATAAAGGTTATATTAGCGAAAAAAAAAATGAATGGTGACCAATGTACAATAAGACAACTGTACTCACCTTGACACGGTATACCAAGTCTTTTTTATATAGGGTGATTATAAAACATTGTTGTTTATTGCCACTTTTATCATTACCAAAAAAATCTATTTTTAGAGAATTTATTTATTATTATTTATCTCTCGATTTATCTATTCCAGCTAGTATAAAATGTATTGTCTAAATTTATTATTTTTTTAATTTAACAATTTCAACTAATTCAACTAAAACCCAACTTAAATGGTTAATATTTAATTAGTAATAAAAACACATTTTATTATGTAATTAAAATTTGTTATTTATTAATTTATTTTAAAAACGAAAGTTTACTAAGATTTTATAACATCATCTAAATGAATCCCAAATATTTAGTCTATGCTTATAGGTATTTTTTAACCAACGAACTGATTATATATTTTAATAGAAAAGTCTCATCATTCTTAAAAAAAATCTAAAAGTTTTTTCCACTGGTTTAAACTAAATGAGTGGCCGTATTTTCTCCGCTGATTTATTCAGATAGGTACTAGTTTCGACGAGAAATTTCTATACGTTATCCGTTTTCGTATTTTTTGACCCGGGATTTTTTTCATAATATTATGTGGGACTCAATGTATAACGAATCCAATACACCTCGTTAAAACTAATTAGTTGACCCTTCTAATTGCTACTAAAAATACTGTCAATTTGTTTTTCTCTCTTAATAATTTTCCACAATTATATGCGTACCACATTAGTTTAATGAAATTAATTGCAGCCACAAAAATATATATAGACGATACATATACATATGTATATTAATAGGTATGATAATTAAAATAATAAAATTAGCATAATTCTATTTTTATCTTAACGCCCAGAACATTGGTACTATTATTTCCTATTGCCCAGGAATAATTGAACATCACAGTGGGCTCGTCCAGGCATTGTTGCCAACTACCAACAAAAGAAAAAACATTTTTAACGTTAATCTTTTTGGCCTACTTCACCTTACGTTTACGAACCCAACTTGTACCTACATAATTGGATTTTAATTTAACGGCGATTCATTTATTAATAAAGATTGCGTAATTTACGTAAGGTTTTGTATGACTCAATTCAGAACATATGCATGTGTATTTAAAGATTAGTGTACATGAACAGTTGAGTTTAACAATGTGGTTTTTTCTGGAATAACAAAATTCGTTTAAATATCCTGTATGAGATAAGAAAAAATCGTTTAAACTTCAAGTTTAGATTAAAAATGCACAATTAATTTTAATCATTTTAAATATTTTTTACTTGCTGGTATACCCAGGCATTTCACAACATAAAACCTCAATAAGCATTTTTATTTTTGTACACTTAACAATTTCTAAATTTTAAACTTGTAAGGTTGCATAATTATTTTCATAGCAATAAAAAATTAAAATTAACGAAGGGAAAATGCAGTAATTTGAGTTAAATTGATTAATAACATTGAATAATTAAATAAATTATAAGTGCTTTGGATAATTTTTAGATAGTTTACTTTTAATTGATACTTAAATTATTGCTTAGGAAATTTAAAAGATAGATTTAAAAAAATTAACAAAATTTTTAAACATTTTCAGAATTTTCGAAAAAGTTAAAATTCCTAAAATTTTGAATATTCAAATTTTCAAAATATCCAAAATGTTCAAAATTTCAGAAATTTAAAAAAATCCACAATTTAAAATTTACAAAATTCGTAAATTTTCAAAACTTTTAAAATAAAATAATAAAATATTCCAATTTCTAAAATTTTTAGTTCCTTAATTTTGAAATTTCTTGAATTCTTAAAATATCCAAAATATTTAAATGTTTTAAAATTATAAATTTAATACCTACGTACCTACATATGTATGTACTATGCTCCACACCTCAAAGTCCCACCACGTGACCACGTACGGAACGCAGTCTTTTGAAAATTTGGCATTTAAGGCTTCTCAGGTTATGTATCTGTCAAAGTAAAGTCAATGAAAGAAATAATATTTATAGTGTTACCGCTTGTGTTAGGAATATAAAAACTGAATTTAATGAAATTCCAAAGTGTAAGGTGCAATATAAGTGATATTTTTGTGCATTTGGTCTACATTTCTCCATTAAATAGTTTTAACTTAACAGCATTTATTAAAAAAAATCTAACTTCTCTATTATGAAATAAGAATATCTGTATCAAAGGTAGGTTAATGTATTAGAACAAAAAATATCATGTAATTTTGTATTTTAAGGTTAGAAAAATCTATTTTGACCAAAATAAATAAGTGGATTATTTGGAAGAGTGTGTTAATATGGTCATAAATAAATATAGGTATACTAAATAATTGTTGAATATGGTTCAAATTAAATTGAAGCTTTTATACTTCTAATGACAAAACTTGTGCATACCTCTCGGTATACCTACTTTAAGTTAGATTATAAGAAAACAAACAATTTTTAGAGAAACTTGCAATGTGAAAATATTTAATACTCCCATGACATGTGATTTATTAAAATTTTTAAAGTTATAATGATTTTTCGATGTAGATCAAATTCAGTCGAAGCTTTATAACTATTTGTATTGACAAAACTTTATGTAGGTACACTTTAAGAAAAACTATCACATTTTTAAATACCATATTATACAGTCTTTTAAATAATCCAAAATACTTATTTATTTTGGTCAAAATAATTTTTTATAACCTTAAAATTACAAAATTAGATGATATTTTTGTTATAATATATTAACCTACCTTTAAAACAGATATTCTTATTCCATAATAGAGAAGCTATTTTATGGAGAAAACCAGATATTTGGACCAAATGCACAAAAATATTACTTATTTGGCACCATACACTTTAAAATTTCATTAAATGCAGTATTTATATTTTTAAATTCTTAAACCATCCATTGCTAATGTTATAAAGATTTATACATTTTTAACGCCTAAACATAATATTATTTCCTTAGTTGACTATACTTTGACAGATACATAACCTGAAAAGCCTTAAATGCCAAATTTTCAAAAGACTGCGTTCCGTACGTGGTCACGTGGTGGGAAAATTGTGGAAAAAATCAGTAGTATGTATTTTAGGGTGCTTCATTTTAGACCGACATTTTTTATTTCAAAATCCCACCTGAAAATCTTGTAACCGGTCAGAAAACAAAAATTTTGAGCTATTACAAATTGTAATTTACAATGCTCTTAATCTTTATTTTAAGCCGTTGCTGTTCAATTTTTAAAAAACTGCTTGTCATTAAAAACGACGCACCTAGTTTTTTGGAAAATATTTAAAAGCTCGTTATTGGAAAATTACTTAATTGATTTTGAAAATCTTTCAAAATTCTGAATAGCTGATTCTTTGACACTTATGTCAAATTTTGGGAATACGATATTTTGCACAAAGCATTATACTACAGGGCAGCGCCGTAGCAACAACCCAACGGGCCCGGGTTCCAGGCTATACCCACGGGCCTCTGGGTGTTTTTTTATTTTGTATTAATTAACATTTTTTATGTTATATTTGGGAGGAACACAACAACCTTTATACCTCCTTAAATCTACCGCTATGATAGTGAAGAGAAAATAAAAGACTATATATATAAAAATAATATATAATATAAAAATAAAAGACTATATAATATATTGTCTATTTTATTATATAAAATATATATATACACAGGAAAAATAAACTAAAACTAATAAAACATTTATAATAATATATTATAAACAAAATATAAGGGCATAAAAAGGGGTGTCCATTAATAATTAATAAAAAGCTACTTTCCTAGATTTAGCAGCGGAAAATTTTGTAATAATTCCTTGTAAATCTATGGAGCGGGCAACTGTATTTTTAATGAAGATCATTGCCAAAGACGATAATCGGTATTGACTCATGGAGTTCCTTATTTATAAATACGTTTTTATTAACTTTTTTTTAGGAACGATCGTTCTGCCGATGCAACTGTCACAGGAATAGTAAGGTATAGAAACTAG